TCTTCAATAATGATATCAATGTTAAGAAGAACTATCTATATTTACTAAATTCCCTGAGTGTAAGATTTATGAAATAAATTGTTAAGGTACTCATGGACTAATCTTTAAAGATACTCAAATACAGTCTCTTGGAGAGGATAACAATTTCTTAATGCTTCAGCGGTAAAAGAAAAAACCGTTGGACTTCATAGCTGATGTAGATTAACAAGAAAAACACAAGAACGAAAGATACTACTTGTCACGTTAAAAATTGATGATCCAATATCAAGCAGCCTAAGCTGGTGATGACACCACTGGTGATTTTTTTATTTTTCTAATATTTATGATAGATACAAAATCACTGATAGAAACGGCATTTACATATTGTTGGCTGCTGTAGAAGTTTTTAGGTGTGACATTAAGAATCTGCACACAAATGGAACTCCTTTGCAGTGTTGAAAAAAAAAAAAAAAAATAGAAAACCGAGACACACAAAAATTAATATTGTGCCACAATAGAATGATGTTCTCAGCACTCACAGGTCTTGTGACTCGATTGATACGCTAATAATAATAATACGTTTTCAAAGCAACCAGTAATTTTTGGGAGGTCTTTAAATCTAATATCTTCGGAAAAAAAGCAAGCAATAAAATGCGTTTTTCAATCCTTAGATTTTGTGAATATTTTCTTTCTACAATTGTTGTTATTAACGATTGTTTCTCTTGAAGCTATTCCGAAGAATGGGAAATTAGTTCATATATGACAAGATAGTCATGCTATAGTTGGAAATTGCAATTATTATACCCATTTTGCACCTATTATGGTTGACAGATCAATTTCAGTTAGTTGATATGGAGAAGAAAGTTATATTGTAAAAGGATACGTACTTTTCTTGCTCAAGCAACTTATCATTATTTTTATTTATAACGTAATAACTAACAAACATAATCAGACCAATAAGATAAGTTTGTTAATAGTTATTTAATTCATCTCCTATGCCAAAACTGTGGTTATATTCTTATTTGAGGACAATGTACCAACCCCGGTTAATAAAAATATAGCTCAAATTATGCTACAAGCAGACAAAGACATTTCACTTGACCTATAATTCTATGTATGCATTAAACGCTTTTATAATTGCCTTGCACTCAAGCTATCTTTTTGTCTTCCCTTTCACTTCCATGTTGTCCGTTTTCATAAATGGTTTTGCACCACATATGTTCTTCAAATACGCTATAATAATGGTATAAATTAATGATCATAAGTTGATGGGACGCTTATTTTATCGTTAGAGAAAAAAAATAAGAAGTAATTTTAAATATAACTGTTGATAAAGTGGCAATAAAGAAAATGTCTATTATAACGAAAGATTATTTCCGTTTTACAATTTATTCTGCTCGTAATGTATGGGTCTTTATGACAGTTTCATTAAATGATGATATATATCTATTAATATGTTTAATTCGTTGAGTATCCCGCATTTTTCCAACAAAACCTCTGCTAATTTCAAACGCGTACTGTGCTAGGTACCTCCATCGTTATTTTCCTAACTCTACACAAACAGTTCGAATTTTTATCGAGTAACCAATATAATACGTGTTAAAATCTTAACTTAATAATGATCACTTTACTTCACTTACAGATTAGATAATTGAGGGAAGAGCAGCCACTAATGTCAAGCTAAATTATAAAGTGAACTCGTCTTGATTACACCAAGGTTCCTTGCGGCCTAATCAAGCCAACCGACTCATTACTTTAGCAGAGGTGGTTTGCGAGCGAGGCATTGTAATATGTGTTATATGAATATGTAGGCAGTTAATATTATATGATATTAAATGTAACACCTAGATCGCAAGCCATCTCGACAGGATTAAGAACTAGATATTAATATGATATGATATTTTGTTAACAGCAGCGTCTCAATCGCAAGTTACAAGACATATTGTTCATGTTGATATGTAGGATATTAATATAATATGATATCATGTTAATTGTAATCAGAATGACTTATTAGTTTAGCCGATATCCTGCATTTAACAACATATTATATCATGTTAATATCATATAATATTTATTACTACTCTTCGACTGCAAGCGACCTTGGTATAATTGGGCAATATCATTCATTAGTTTCTAGTTACACCGAGTAATACCGTATGGTAATATTAATATCATATAATATACGGCTTACGACTTATAACGAGATAGCGCGCTGGCAAATATGATCGAAACCAACTTGAAAGGAAACTCGATAAGGAAGGATAGATACTTCTTCCAGGTGAAGATGAGTGAAAAGTTTTTGCAACGTAAAAAGAATGACAAAAGGTGTTGTACAACGTTCCCTGCTACTAGTTTTGCTATTTAATACATTTATATATGAGCAACATATATTGCAAAAACCAAAGTACAGAAAACCAATTGAGAGGAACTGGAGTTCAAGAAAAATCACAAGTAAATTTTGAAAAAATATCCATAATATACTTGATATTTGAAAAATTATTTTTACGCCATTTAGCTGTATTTCTTTTTTCATTTAAGTACTAAATTATTCCAATAACCCTTACTACAACGTTATCTCCAATATTTGGGGAATTCATCTTGAATTGTAGCTGGATGAAAGAATTACTATTTATCAAAACAGCCAACTAATGCCAAACTTTAATCAACAATTTTCAATTTATTTAAAATCAACCAAATGTTATTGATATTTGTGTTTTGATTCCTTTTTATCATCGTGTGTTTAATGAATGCGAATAAATAACTATCGTACTTTAAGGATGAAAGATTTTATTTTTATTTTTTAGTTTCTACCGGTTTCAGCGTGTTAATGCCATCCTCAAGAACCACGTTATACAATTTTTGTTTTTCTCTTTATCATATTACTTTACTTTCTGTTCTTTCAACTTTTATTCTAGTTTTATTAAACGTTAAACACTTAGAATAAATCTTGTGGGTAAAGTCTTGTGACTAAATTTAGTCACAAGCGTAAAGAACATCGTGGTCTTGTAGATTTAATAGAGTTAATACAAGTTAATTTGAACATTAAACACTTTGAATAAAAGTTGAAGGAAGAGAAAGTAAAGTAATATGATAAAGAGAAAAACAAAAATTGTATAACGTGGTTTCTTGAGGATGACATTAACACGCCGGAACCGATAGCAACTAAAAAATAAAAATAAAATATTTCATCGTTAAAGTACGATAGTTATTTATTCACATTCAAATGTTATTAAGATTAAAATTATTTTTTTTACATAATTTGACAAACTTTTTGTTGAACAACTTATTACATATTCATGTTTTGTTGTCGTAATTAAATCCCACATGAATGCAAATAACAAACATTAGTTAGAATGCTACACAAAGCATTTTTCATACCGTATCTAAAATAGATCGTTTATAATCCAAGAAGCACTATTATAACTTTTAAGTTGCAAGCGTTATTCAGTCGTCTGAAGTGCAAAACTAAGATCCCGGGCAAGAGATAGTCCCTTTTAAGTATTAAGCACCGTCTGTTGTACATATAACATAACCACATATAAATGCATATCGCTCAAATTCACGAATTCCTAACAAAATGGCACGAACCCGGGCGACGTTTAATAGGCCATTGTTGAAAATAATACCGCACGTATTTGCAAACAATAACCGGGTGGCACGCAACAGTAAGAGTTGTACAATAGGGCCGGTTCACCGACTTTGCTGTGACCCACTTATCGGGCCGGAACAGAAGTCAGAACTACAATTATTTTTAATGAATCCGTCCATAAACCGCGGATAAAAGAGGTAAAAAATACGGGAACCGAACGCGTGTTGCGGGGCAGGTAAATATTCAAAAAAGCGACCCCTGTGCCGCCATCTGTACATTTCAACGGGAACAACTTCTAGAATCAGGGTTCAAAGAGGAACAACAAGTACATTTTAAAAAGATTTGAAGCGTTAACACACGTATATGCGGGTATTTTTTTATTTAAAGAAAAGTTTTAATTTTTTTTCAGCGTATCGAAGACCTTTAAAATTCTTAACAAAAGGTGTATTGAAAACACCACAAGCAAACTTTTAACTCCGATTTTTTTTATTAGAACTCAACGATAATTAAAAATTAATTAGACTCCACTTTTTATATTCGTTTTTATACCAGCTTCTACATAAAACATAGTCATATAAAGGTTTTCTTTAATTTATATATTAGATCGAGTTAATTAATGCAGTTTACTTTATTGCATCATAACACATTGTTATTCTGAATATATTCACTTTTTTAATGTCAAGGTTTCCGTATAAATTTTTTCCGTTTATTTAAAATTAATGTTTTTCTTTTTCATTTATATGATATATTTACAGGATATGAGAAAGCAGATTTAAAGGCGAATTAATTATTTTGCGGTTCCGGTTGGAGTTTAGTATTCCCAATCTCAATAATTCTCATTAATACACATAATACAATATTTCCGGATAATCGAGATTATCAAATTTATAAACGCTAATATTACGCGAAGACGTTAAGTTATCTAGAACATATTAGTACTCTACAAGAATAGATAGAAATATCGATCGCTATCAATAGGAGATTCAGAACATTTTGTGTAGACCCCCTATCGAGGGCTAAAGACATATAATACAAGACTGATATTTCGATACGATCAACGTGGTCCGACGCCTACGGACTCCGGAGACTCGGAGAGAGCCGTGCACTCGTACAGATATCCGGTGTCGGTTCGTAATCCGATCAAGAGAAATAGCGGTCCATTAGCGAGCCAGCGCGAATCTCGAGTCGTTTAAAATTGACAATATTTGCCGTTCGGATAAATGGCAATAAATGGAGTGGTCACCACCTGTTTAATTGAGTTAAACCGAGGCGCGGAGCGGAACAGTTCCGGGCTAAATCGTCGACAAATTGGTCCCCGGATCGGGCATACGAACGTGCGTAATACCTTAAGGCCGCGTGGACAGCGCATTAAGTCAACGCGTAAGACGAGTAAGCCGGTGCTATTAGTTAATAGTCTCCGAGATAATCTCACCTGTTAATCTGCGTCCGGTGGCTCGCCGTGTAACTCGCTCTCCTTCTCTCTTTCTCACTTTGGAACCTGCGAACAAAACTGATTTTATGGAAACAAATTTACCTACTAAAGGTCAATTAAAATTTTATAACTTTTCTTTATTAACTTTAAAATTCTCATTTAATAATATAGGTAGATTATTTCGTTTTCATTATACGCATATTTTGTTGAGCATAATTCAAGTTGTGAGTAAACGAGCTGCCGTATACATGCTGTAATAAAATATTACATGAACCGAGGCTAAGAATTTAGAAGATATACTGGCAGAGACTGCATTAAGTAAATTGTTCCTAGAATGGCACACGCGGATGTATTCTACCTACACTACCGCCACGGTAGTATAGTATAATATGCAATCGGGAGAAGAGCGAGCGAGGAGAATATTTCTAAATACAATGAGCGAAACAATGGGAGAACGGTTTCCTGTGAATCAGACGAGACCGACCGTCGCGTTCCCTTCTCTCCCCCCAAACGAAAATCCCTCCAAGTCGCGGCGAAACCGTCGGTATAAATCGTGTAATATGTAAACGGCGAGACATGGAAATAATACTTTATATAAGTTGCCGCATTGTTTCCGCGGCTATCTGGTAATTTGATGGAGGAATGCGTTTCTCATCGTTTAAATAAATCCGTGTGTGTCTGAATGGGACTGCTTACAAAGCGGAGAATCCGTAATTTATTTTGTGCCATTGTCTAATACCGTTAGAAGATATTGTAAAGCATCCAAGTATACCTCACTCAGCTTAAACACATAAGAAGAAAACCATCTACTTTAGACAATATACCTCCGAATACTATAAGAATATATCGCTCTATTACTGCCAAAATTCACTAACAGACATTTTTAAGAAAATCGGAATAACTTAACCACTAACTGCATTTTGAAGTGGAGTATCTATGGCGAGATTTTCAAAAATTATTTTAAAATTAAAACTAATCAATTGAGTTAGTGAGCTTCGCTTAAAGCAAATTTCGTAGTTATTGCACTGAGAGAAATGGACTATGCACAAAAAATATACTATAAGGTATAATACGTTTACTACGAATAGTGACAGCGAGACGAGATTGTATTCAGTACAATAAATATAATGAATATAATACAATGAATTGCTGCATGTATAATATTTTTTCTATAATACGATTCGTACAATCTATTTCTCTCAGTGTGGGTAAATCGTAAACGCAAAAATTCATTAACACTTAGAGAGTTTTAGCTTTTACAAGAAATGGATTAGTTACACTTTGTTTACATACCAGTTAGAGATTTTGCCTTGGTCAGTTAACCTCGTGGTGTACGACTAGTTACTTAAATATTTTAAGTGTGTAAACATGCTTGGAACTAATGGATTTAGAGGACAGCGTATGATGAAAACAATTTTTATATTATTCTTGAGAATATTAAACGTTAATTATTTTTTGGGAAGAATCTGACAATGATTTTGTGAAGGACAAAACGTGGGATCCAAAATCTACAAATAAACAACAGAATTTTAGTAGCTCTGATTCTGAAGTATCAGATTCGGTACCAAACTTTGATAAAATTGTAGAAGATGAGGATCAACACTCAGCTTGATCTAATACGAGGGAACAAAAACAAAAGCAAAAACAATCACCTTGGTCGAAATCGAATCCTTCCAATTGGGCTAAAAATGTTGCAAAACAAAGACGCTATGATTGCTTGCCTTATAAATCCCAAAAAGGCATACGTGAGGCTAAATTACTGCGACCTGTAGACTGTACAAAATATAAATTTAAATGTGTAGAAAACTTTAATGAGGACAGTAGGGCGGAAATTTGTAAAATGTTTCGGGGATTATCAAACTTCCAACGTCAGAAAGACTTTATTTTAAAACACGTACATTCGAGTATACCACGTCGTCCTAACGCAAACGTTTCGCTCTATAAAAGACGACGGTGTAGCCGTTCCTTTCATTTTCTTAAAAATGATATTAAAATACGGGTTTGAAAAAAGTTTTTTTTCAACACTATGTATAAGCAACGGACCAATCATAACAGCTTTTAAAGAACAAATAGGAGGAGCTTTTCTGGAGAGGATACATGGAGAGATACATACAAGGATGTAGACTTAGTCAAGCAGCATATCCTGTAAACTTTCAATTAATAGAATGAATGTTTTGTATCAAGACATTTGCAGAAATAATAGCAGGATACCTATAAGTTTAGCGATGTATAGAAAAATATTTTGCACCCACTATAATTTGTCATTCTTCGTGCCAAAACAGAATCAGTGTCTATTATGCAACCAGTATAGTGAGGCAAAAAGTACATGATCTGACGACCTGATAGCCAAGTATCAAGACCATCAAGCCAGAAAATGTGAAGCAAATGAAGCTAAAGAACAAGACAAACAAAAATCAAATTCGAATCCAGCATTTTTGTCTGTAACTGTTTGATTTACCGCAAGTTCTTCAGATTCCGTCCGCTACCGAATCACTTCTGTATTATTCCCAAAAACTATACATGTACAATTTTACAATTTAAGAATCAAAGCCTCCCAACGATGCACACTGTATAGTATGGTCAGAAGTAAACGGTAAAAGGGGCAGCAGTGAGATTGGAAGTGCAATAGTGCATTGCAGTTCCAATTCATCGTTTATTCCAATCATTCATTTATGGAGGTAGATAGTATGCTATCGAAAAAGAACAACGTTTTGTACCTGTCTATTCAGTATCTGAGTGGATGAACATTATGAGAAGAGCAAGATCGGCCAGAAACCGATCAAATGCACATCCCTATAATGTACACCAATCAACATTTACTGATATCATGGATCTAAAAAAATTATAAAAAAATCGTGTCAAAGACGAAGATGGGAATAAAGTTAATTGGTTGCGGATTAAATGTTTACGTTATGAAAAACAAAACCCTGGCACTATCAAGTTTCGGTACGGCCACAGTGGTCCCTACAATACACTGAGTATACTTGGCCGAGGAAGAAATCCAGACATAAGCCAGACTAGTATTAGAAAAGCATACAATAAGGAAAGTCGTAAAGGAATTATACCGCAGGAACTACACCCGTGGTATGAATCTTTACCTGTAGATAACAAACTAAAAGAGACAACTACTGAACCAGCAATAGGTGAAGAGGACGATGAATCCAAAGAAGATCAATAAAACTGTATATTATTTTTTTGTTCTGTATCATATTTCGTTTTTGTTTATTAGATTGTGTTTATTTTACGTTGCCTTTGTATCCTTAATATAATATGATTTATTACTGCAAATGTGCTTATTATTTTAATTGCAAAAATTAACTAACTACAATTTTTTTTAGTTTTTGTTCTTATAGGACTTTGTGAAATTGGTATAATATTATAAACTAATACCTAACAACATAACATAATTCAAAATATAAGAAATAAAATATTACATTTGAATACTGATTTACAAGCTATCAATAATCTTTTGAAATGTTTTTCTCCAAAATATCAAAATGTCACTTAGCGAGTTTTGGAAGTAATAGGACGATATAACAAAGTTTAAGATTCCTTTTCAAAAAGAATTTTCTCATTTGTCCAGTTTATGTATTTATGTATACCAGGGCGATTTTTAAGCCATAAACAGTAAGAAAGTGAAACGAAAAGAAAAATGAAACAAAAAATTACAGAGTTAATAAACAAAAATGAGTCGAAAACAAATAGTGCGTGATAAATATATGATTTTAATTGTAGATATAAAATGTTCCAACATTATGATGCACTTGTAATACTCACCGAAAAATTAATTGTACCGATCAAAGAAATTGATTCTAAAGTAATCTTTTATGTTACAAGAGACGAATTATTTGACGTGCTTTATGACGTCCTTCTTGTATTCGGACATGGAGGAAGAGATATGATGCTTGAGGAAGTAAATAAAAAGGATACAAACAAGACAACGACATATAAAAAGTTATTAAGGCAAGTGTAACGCAAGTCAGCAAAAAAAGAAGACTGAAAAAAAGGAGTGGTAGTGAAACCATTAATTTCTCAGCATTTAAATAGTCGCCGTCAGGTGGATTTGATTGATTTCCAATCTCAACTAGATGGAAATTATAAATTCATTATGGTATATATTAAGATCACCTCACGAAATTTCTTGTATTACAACCCTTCTCAACAAAACGCGCAGAGGAAGTTGCGTGTCATATTCTTGAAATATTATTGGTTTTTAATCTACAAAATATGTAACAAGAGCTAAAAATAGTACAGGGCAAGCCAAAGTGAAGGCAGTATAGAAAGGGCAAATTAAGATGTAAAAAACAGCTTTCTGTTCAAAAATCTCTGTTTGACATGAAAAATTGAGGCTACCATCCAAGCATCAAACGACTTCCTAACAAGGGAACGTTTTGTGTAGATCGAAAAGTTAGCTTTTTATCGTAAGAAATTATTTCTCAAATATTTGCAGAAGAACCGAACATCAATGACGGCGATAAAGGAACGACGAGGATAGTGCAAAACGAAAAGAAGAATTTGAAGAAGCAAAGTGTCTAATTTGTCTAATTTATTCAAATTATTTTATTTGCACCGACTGTATAAAACCAGTTCATTTCAGATGTGTAATACAAAAATTTAATATAAATGCTGATTGAATGACGCATAATGACGTCAAAGAATCAATTAAGATTACTTCAGATAAGTTACATCTCTCAGCAATTGGTTCAACACTTCATGTCAGAATTCTTAACAGAGACCTTGGAAGAAGATATCTAAGGTCTGTCCTTGGCATTATATGACAAGTAGCTGAAGGTAGTTATTATAAATTGGGCACAAGTAATAGTATAATCAATCAATTACATATGAGATCTCTATTTTGTGTTTATGAAAAGAAACTTGTAACTCCCGGAAAAGTTCCTTTTAAGGAAATATCGATGCAGACAGCGGCAACGGCAAAATCTATAAAATACACTTACCAGCATTACCATTATTAAGGGAATAAGCTAGAAAGTTGTTTCAGTTTACAAGTTGCCACCACTGCTGTATATTGACAATGTCAATATCAAAGCTGAGATAAGTATGAAAAA